CTAGCACGAGGGCTATTCTGGGCAATATTTTCCAGGTTGGTCAGTACGCTCGGACCAGACTTGTTTAGTTTCTCTCTTCGGACAAAAATGCACAGCTTATGAACATTTCTGTGGCAAAATCCAGACTAAGTAAGAACCAATCAAAATGCTAGGACTTATACTTGCCATCTCATTAAACAGATTGTTTTGTTTAAGAAGCAATCTAAATGAACTCTCCTCACTTTCGTGACTTAGACATGTTTTAAAATGAATAGTATTCTCCAATCAGGTACAGAAGTAAAATTCTTGACCCAAGCTAATTGATTGAGAACTTCATATCTACCTTCAGCATCACAGCCTTTGTCATGAGGGGATGACTCCTAACTACTGTTCGCAGATGTGCTGCTCACTAGTTAAATTTTAAATATTGTAAAAATTGTTTTAAAAAAGTGTAAGAAATGGACAACATAAATTGCTTACGTGCACCTCAATAGTCATATCTGAAACAATCTTACTCCTCACCTCGCTTCATCTCTCGCGTGTGCTAAATAATAAAGGATAAGTAGCACGTGAGAGGATCATAAAAAAAGAATAACTGACTGATGAAAAGATACTCACCTCTGGCTTGCCTTAGCCCATGGCAGCACTTCATAGCACTCATCGACACTGCTGTGGAAGTGACCCCATGGGGTTTAGGGATTAAAAAAAACTTCCAGTGGGACCTGCGCCTTGCTATTTCCCGTAGACTTTATTTTGGCCTGTCACGCAACATTTCTGATTTTAATTGACATATTTAAGTTTTTTACGCTTATTTATGTATTATTAGTTATAAATGATTCTCTTTTCCTTCATTTTTCAAAATATACTTTTTTTCGGTCCGTGATCCGATCCGTGATCCGGTCTATGATTCGATCCAGTCCGATCTAAATTTTGTCGACGCCGAAAAAAGAACAATATTAAGATAAACTTCGATATGTATCTTCTAGTTTAATCCAAAGGCACGAATGTCTTAGCCTACATATTACAGGATTTTACCCCATTATTTGCGTCGATAAAGATACCACACTTTAGTAATATATGTCATAGAGATAGATATATCTAAGTATACTAACTGTAAGAAATTACGTTGTTAATTTTAAAACGGTTAAAAATCTTGCCGTATGTATATTAAAACATATTGTAAGAAATCACGTCTGGATTGGACCAGATTATCAATTTTCTGGTCAGTCAGTTATTTATCGACATTTAGTCGATAGTAAGTGCGGGAGGCATGTGCGGAAGTTCAACGTAGACCAGAAGAGAATACGAGAGTGGCGAGCAAACCAGAGTAAATTAGAATCTGCTAGATGTAAGTGAAAGCGACTCGACATGCAAGAAAATGGAACTTCCTCCAACATTCATGGCAAGCACTGGGTGGGTGCAGAAGTTCATGACCAGACATGGGTTATGTATACGGCGCAAGACAACAGAATCTCAAAAGAATCTCCGCCGTAAACTATAAGTGGGGCTTTTAGTCAAAAACATGCTATCAATAGTACGCGAGCACAAATTATGTTTAACCTTATACTTTAAAATTCAGATGTCTTGTACTCCCCTATCATACAATGTTGGTAGCTTCGCTTTCTCTAACAGCTGCTGGTAGCTAGACAACTTGTCTTTAAAAACAGCACTCAGTCCTCGCTCCTGTACTCTCTCTAATCTACGAGTGTCCGAGGCTCTGCAAAAATGCCACACAAGGTGGCAATATGTAAGATGAAAGAGAATGGCTGCTTTGTACAGGTGTAATTTGGCCTCAGTTGGTATGAGATTCCTCAACCTCATGATCACTCCAATTCTCTGGCTAGCTTTCTTACATACATTACTTATATGCACATCAAAGTTAAGACCGCAATCTATCGTTAAGCCCAGAAGCTTCAAATTTTCCATACTCATTTTGTCGCCACAGGTCACACTTTTGTTCCGAATGCTCATCGTTTGATATTTTTTCAGGTTTCCCTGTAGGAGGTTCGAATCATACCAATTAGTCGCTAGGATGTCACTCTCCTGAAGTTTGGCAAGTACAGTACACATGTCTTGTCCTTTCTCATAGATTTGATGATCGTCCGCGTACATTGATAGCGCAGAATCCGCGTTGTATAAAAAATTCGTTCTGAAATATGTTCCATAATAGTGGCCCTAACAAGGATCCCTGAAGACAGCCACGTTCCACATTTCTCCATTTCTCCTCCTATTATCCTCAGATTCACTGTAAAGCCTGAAATTACATATTTTCTCTTGAAGAAGTCCTGTGTTCAGTATGACTCCTCTCAAAAATCGGGGCTCACAGCATCGCTATTACTGAGGATGACAAGCGCCATTTAAGCAAATCCATTTCAACATACTAAAACAAGAATGTAGAGTTAGAATTTAATATGTCTAAAAAGTTGTTTGGGCTGTTCGTTCAGCTCGCCTTGAGTAGTGTTCTGTTTTTTGTTCAAAAGCATGGCAAGTTTGCTGTCTATTGTTTAAGTGATGTTCACCAAGTTGCTCAAAGCTTTCGGACCGAACTGCTTCACCTACTAAAGGTTGAGCTGGAGTATTAGATGTATTCTGTACTTTGAAATCATTAATGGTGGACAACAGTTTCGTTAACCTTATAGTTGTGTTAGAATATTGCTGATCATTCGAACCGTATGTTGATTACAGCTGATGTCCATACATTTCAACGAAAGAAGCGAGTCTGCATTTTACCCCTTGTCTACAGTCTTCAGTACGCATTTTACCCTTGGTTTGCGTTTTACCCCCGGTCTGTAGTTTGCAGTCTGCGTTTTACACCGACTGACCCTTACGCCAGCACTGAGGTTTTAGCGAGTAGATTCTTGAACCAGCGCCTTGATAAATGTACAGAGAACAGTATGGAGATTATGAATACTGATGTTAGGGTGTAAAGGGTTAAGTGCAAATACAGGGACAATATATTGACATAATCACGAAGATGGCGTTATAACTTTCTTTCTACGATCACCTCTGTTGTCTGGTTGGCAAGATTCCCAACTCCATTGGATGCTTTACAGCGGTATGTTCCATCGGAGCTTTTGCCAGCATTACTGATGACATAAAACCCATCCATAGATAGTAGTTCTCCACTGTCTGTCTGTCAGTACCATGCCCCCACTCTCTTGTCCAAGTAATATTCGTATTGGTTTAACAGTTGCGTTGCAACTCAAAGTTACCATAGAACCTACACAAACATATTGGTCACCAGTCACATTAACAATTTCAGGGGGTTCTGTGGAATAATCAAGTGATTAGCATAGAAAAATGAGGAGGAATTTTTTAACAATTAAAAATTTAAAGTCATTCCCTCTATACTTTCAAACTTTGCTAACACAGTCACGCAAGGCGCTCTCTCTTAAACGGAAAATAGAGGGCACCAACACCAAGCGTGGCACCGATGCATTTCATTTTAACTTAGAAGTATTTAGACAATAGAGACAATAAATCACATAATATCTGAGTGAGTTCAGTTAAATTAGGTTTTTTCTGTCTTTCCGCGATATTTTCGTTTTTCATGCTCTTTTCGGTGACAAAAATTAAAAAATTAAGTACACAAACTGTCCCATCGCAACCCACCTAACCAAAAAAATAACTCTTGCATGCTACGCATGCCTATGTCTTCAAAAAGTTATCTTCTCGACGTGAAAACGAGGCTAAATAGTGCGCTGTAATGCAAGTCCCCGCTGCGTGATCATCATGACAATAATTTTCCATGTGTGGAATTTATAAAGTTTAAGACAGTGACAGAATCATTCGCGTCGCTTTCCTTGTTTTAATTATTTGTTGTAAAACGTCGATCCAGAACAATTTTGTCCAATGTATCATATTACACAAGTTTCACGTAAGGCTAGGGAAGTTATGCAGGGAAACTATCGTCACGTGATCTTTATTTTGTCACGGACGAGGAAATCAGCTTCTAAAGGTGATACGTAGAATACATACACTAAAGTTGATGAAGTTTATGTTCAAGTGCTGTACTGAGTCGGTTTGGATGACGTTTGTTGTCGTTTTAAGATTTCTTGGATTTATTTGTGTGATTCACCTCTCAGGTAAGTCACAGTTTATTATTAGTTTCTTAACCACTGTCTTGGCGGATTGTTAAGAGAATGGAATTTGAAATGAAACACAAGAGCAAATTAAATGGCCCTTGATTATGTTTAACCAACATTCCACAATAATACAATTGCTCCAATTGCTCCTCTCGCGTGCTCAGACTGCAAAGATATCATCCACTGATCTATTTCTTTCACGAAATCAAGTCTGTAAATGATTGATAGGGTTACAAAGCAGCAAATAACGAGAATCCTTTGGGGATACCAAAACTGTCAAGCGATATCACGTCTACACTGATATACGTTTGCGCTACAGCTTTTCTTACGGATGATTCTGTCTTCGATAAGAAAACGAACTAACATATATTTTATATATATTCTCTTTTACTATATCTTTGGAAAGTACACTGTTCTAAATTGAAGGTTTTGTAACATAAGATATGTAGTTTTTACCTAGTGAATTAATAAAGATTGTTATTATTATTATTATTATTATTATTATTATTATTATGATTATTATTATAGCTGACAATGCTTGCCGCAAGTCATGTATCAGTGACATAGCTTTAGGAGCATAAAGTTCTCGGTTCTGCAAAATAGTTGTTCAAGCGAATCAATTCAGTTAATCATATCCGTGTCATTTTGGAGGTGCTCAAGACTTCTGGACAAATACCTCGTACTGAATTTCTGAATCTTTTCCTGAATTGCAAAATCATTTAACTGGACAGTGCAAACTGACAATCCAGCACTGGTAACAAAAGGAGAGGATGAGTCACTTATATGGGAGTTCACTCTAACTGCTGATGAACAGGCCAAGAGTGATGTTTTTAATTTTGTTAAGTGGCACAAGTTTGATCAATCAAGTTTAGTTTATGACCTGGTTGGTGGGAAAACCTTTGTCAAAGCTTTGATGAACCCATGGTCCCACATATTATGATTGACAGAAATCACCAAGCCACATTGCTCATCAACAATGTAAGGAAAGAAGATGAAGGAAAATATAAGATTGAGTACAGTGTACAACTTGATGGGACATTACTGGCTTATCAGGAGTTTAATGTATCAGTTTTAGGTAAGGTCCTCTGCGTGAGAGGTTTTTGTAACTTTACCCTTGTTGTTAAGTGGGTCAGTTGGGTTCATTTGGTCTTTAAATTGAGAAAAAATGATCTAGTCTTAAAATTAGGAATCAATAAATACATTGAATACCTTTCGAATTATTTGTTGTTTTTTGTAATTAAGCTGGGGCTTAGGTTTCATTGGAGAGGAAGTCAGTATACTTTCGAAAAAAGTGTCTACTCTGTAAAATTCAGCTGATTTAGAATTCAGGTTAGTATTGAACTAATAGTTGCTCTGATCACCGATTTCTTGAACAGGTTAGGAATCTTTCTGTTTCCATAATAATGTAATGTAATCTGGAATAAGTGGAATCATAACAAAACACTTTTGTATTAAGTTGTGGATTGAAAAAAGAACAAGTGTGATAATTTTGTCATTGTATCAGACGCCAGTTGAAGAAAATGTGTTAATCAGTTGGTGAAATATTTTGTGAATCCACACAAACTAAATAACACATGCTAAAAAGTATATAACATAAACATTGATGTATTTAGCAACAATTTGTGGCAAAACAAATAGAAAGAAAGCGATTCTTGTTTTTTACTTAGTAAGGATTTAGAGTAACTTTATCTTGTTTGGCACAAAAATGTTTGTTCTTCCCTTGAGAGGATAGGCAAACAAAAGTAAAACTGTGGTAATTGGTACTTTCCTTTAAGTTTTTGCATATTCAGAGTCACTTGACCAGTTACATTACATGATTCATGGTCTTATAGAGTAAGCAAACCTCCTGGTGTGAAACTGACTTTGCGTAAGAAGTTTATTACTAAAACATATTCAAAAGGGCCGGGAACCCCATTATAAGGCAGCCTTTTTTTCATGTCGAACAGTGGTTAGTCCATGAAAACACCTTCTTAATGCAAAACCTATACTGCAATTTGACTTACAAACTACTTAGCATTAATCAGCAGGTCTTCCTCTATCAAAATCTATTATCAAACCTTTTCTAACATGAAGGTTGTGTGAAATATCACTTTTCCAGTCCTTTTTCCAACTATGATATAGAAGTACAACTGCTCCAATTGCTCCTCTTGTGTGCTCAGACTGCAAAGATATCATCCACAGATCTATTTTATTCACGGAATCGAATACAGGACATTTCGCACAAAAGACTTTTCGCACAAGTCTTTTAGCACAAGTTTTGGACCGTTCGCTCAATTCTTAATGGTCATTTCGCACAATAATTATAAGAAAGAAACATCAATATAAAAGGTATACTAATTGATACTGATAAGACATTTTACCTTCACATGTCACTTTCAATAAGATCCAACGGCGAGAACGTAGTCATTTATTTACGTAATAACTTCAACTTGATCGAAACGCTTGTGAACACGATCACTATTCTAACTTGAAGAAAGAAATAAATCTTTCTCTCTGTGAAAATGTAAAGAACTCCCTATTCGAACGATTACTTCTTTTACTTTTCTTTTGTTAAACGAAAAACCTTTTAGTTTTGACAGTACATCATCCACTACAAACAAACGAATATGACGACCCAACGCTAAGGACGCTATGTTGATTTTGAAAGTAATTGTCACCAATCCTCCCTCCTCTGCAGTCAAAGTAAAAACCTGCAAACTGTTTCACTTTTTATTTAAAAGGAGAAAAGACCTATTTACAAAATTTCTGTGTAAATATATAAAATTCAAGTTCACGGCCATGTTACCCGACGAATTATGCATATTTTCACTCGCTACTCGGTCAAGACTCGTAGAAATTTAGCCCTTTCCTACATTCATTTAAGCTATAGTACATCTAAATTTCTTTATTTGTTTTGATCTTAAGCTTGTATGATTACTCATCGAAAGGCTAGCATATAATCTTTGAATTATTTTGAATTCTTGAAACTTTCGTGAAATCATTTGTTTACATCACGGTCGCTATGACGCTTATCGATCGATACTGAACTCTCCATTGCTTACGTAATTGTTATTAGAATAATTTGAAAGATAACTACTTGATAGATGTATTAAACTTTACGATCTTTAAAGTGATTACAGATCGAACTTGTCTTTCTACAAGATCACTTGTTACTACATACACTGACACGTTCAAGTTGTCAAATCACAACACTTGCACGTGCTGACATTCGATGGGAATCACTCTCTGAATATCTAGTTATTAACGTTGAACTGTTTTTGCTGTACGTATTACCAGTATGCCTAATTTTCACTATATAACGAAGATATAAGAAGCAAGTTTTCAATAGCTTTATTTGAAACTCTTACAGATCGATAAAACATGCTATTTGAAGGCGATCGAACGAGGAGGGAAGACTGATGACAATTACTTTCGAAATCAACATGGTGTCCTTAGCGTGGGTCGTCATGTTTGCATGTTAACTTTGCAGTGGATGATACTGTCAAAACTAAAAGGTTTTTCGTTCAACAAAGAAAACGTTATAGAAGTAGTCGTTCGAATAGGGAGTTGTTTACATTTTCATGGATAGAGAGATTTGTACCTTTCCTTTCTTCAAGAAGAATAGTGATCGTGTTCACGAGCATTTTGATCTAGTTGAAGTTATTACGTAAATAAATGTCTACGTTCTCGCCGTTGGATCATATGAAGGTTAAATGTCTTATCAGTATCAATCAGTATACCTTTTATATTGATGTTTATCACTTATGATTATTGTGGGAAATGACCACTAAGATATGTAGTTTTTAACATACGAATTAATAAAGATTGTGATTATTATTATTATTATTATTATTATTATTATTATTATAGCTGACAATGCTTGCTGCAAGTCATGCATCAGTGACATAGCTTCAGGAGCATCAAGTTCTCGGTTCTGCAAAATAGTTGTTTGAGCGAATCAATTCAGTTAATCATACCTATGTCATTTTGGAGGTGCTCAAGATTTCTGGACAAATACCTCGTACTGAATTTCTGAATCTTTTCCTGAATTGCAGAATCATTTAACTGGACAGTGCAAACTGACAATCCAACACTGATAACAAAAGGAGAGGATGAGTCACTTATATGGGAGTTCACTCTAACTGCTGATGAACAGGCCAAGAGTGATGTTTTTAATTTTGTTAAGTGGCACAAGTTTGATCAATCAAGTTTAGTTTATGACCTGGTTGGTGGGAAAACCTTTGTCAAAGCTTTTGAGATAATTTTGAATAACCACAACGTTAAAGTTGTTCAAAAACCTTTTCGGACTCTGGGGCAAGTTAAAATTATATATACTATACTAGGACTCGAATCGAGCTCCTGTATAATCAGGGTTTCCATCCAGTTGGAATATTTAAAACCTTGAAAAGTGAAGGGTTACAAGTGAGTCCTTCAGGCATCACTCGCTTAATCAAGAAGCTGCGTCATACTGGCCCCGTAGCAAATTTACCTCGTTCGAGACTGAAAAAGGTTTTTATGGAAGCAAGAGCTTTCATAGACCAACAGATGCGTAGGAATGACAAGACGACGAGCGCAAAGATTCGAAAGAAGCTTGCGAAACGTGGAATTCTCGTTAGTTCGTCCACGGTGCGAAGATCGCGAAAGCAGAAAATTTACTATTACAGGAGCATCTGATAACAATGATCAGAACAGGTTTATGTTTTGTCTTTTCTGGTGCGAAACCAAACTTAAAGTCTTTACTCTTGGTAAGTTAAGCGAGTATTTCTTATCGTTTGTATTCGTGACTTAACTCCAGCCGAGCAGTAGGCGGTAAACCGACGCTTTTTATCGCGAAGTTTCGCTGAACTTTCGTTTCGAAGCGAAAATTCGACGAAATAGCGCTCTTTGTTCAACGGAAAATTTGCCCAAAAAGCCTCGAATTGTCATGCGAACTTTCGTACGAAATTTCGAAGAAAGTTCGCGAGAACAAAAAACGAAATTCGCGCATTTCGCTTGCGTTACTTTTGCACATTACTGTAAGTGACAGCATACCAAAACACCTTTGTATTAAGCTGTGGATTGAAAAAAAACAAGTGAGATAATTTTTTCATTGTATCAGATGCCAGCTGAAGCAAATGTGTGAAACAGTTAGTGAAATATCATGTGAATTCACCCAAACTGAATAACACATGCTAAAAAGTATATACCGTAACATAAACATTGATGTATTTAGCAACTATTTTACAGTAAAAAAAAATCAAAAGAAAGCGATTCTTGTTTTTTACTTAAGGATTTAGTTTAAATTTATCTTGTTTAGCACAAAAATGTTTGTTCTTCCCCTAAGAGGATAGGCAAGTAAAACTGAAAGTAAAACTGTAGTAATTAGTACTTTCCCTTAAGTTCTTTGCATATTCAGAGTCACATGACCAGTTGCATTACATGATTCATGGTCTAACAGAGTAAGCAAACTTCCTGTTATGAAACTGACTTCACGTAAGAAGTTTAGTCTTAAAAAAACATAGTCAAAATGGCCAGGAACCCCATTATAAGGCAGCCTTTTTTTCATGTCGAACAGTGGTTTGTCCATGAAAACACCTTCTTAACACAAAACCTATACCCCAATTTGACTTTACAAACTGTTTAGCATTAACCAGAAGGTCTTTCTCTACCAGAATCTATTATCAAACCTTTTCTAACTTGTAAGTTGTGTAAAACATCAATTTACCAGTCCTGGCTTGTACTCTTCAGTTCATTCCAGATTCTTTTTTGGTGTTCAATAAAGGTTTTTGCCTGTGTTACATGAAACTTTTTAAATTCACACATATATTACTCCACATACTTCTCAGGATTCTGTAGATAACCAAACCAGCTCCTCCATCTCCATGTTAAAGAAGTTCCTGTCTTTTTTCCTTGGAATAGTTTTCTTCAATTGAAATTAAAAGGCAACTACTCTTCATCAAAAAGGGTTTAAAATAGTATTACTAGATTTATTTAACAATAGAGGCACAGTATTCATTTCAAACAGTTTAATAGCGGAGCTCGCAGAGCGTAGCCCCATAATTATACAAAATAGTAGTAACCCATTAAGCCGAAAAAATTTGGATGTACGACCGTACGACCGTATATGGTGCTACTTTTAACATGCGTGGTCAACTGTACCGCGGGCACGCCAACGCCAGGGCTTTGTTCAGTAGTCCAGTGGTCAGTGCACTGGGCTCCGAGTCGGACGACCCGGGTTCCAGTCCTGGCCAAAAAAGTGCGAGCTCCGCTTTTAGGTTTAGCTAAATCTATATATGAGTGTTTAATAGATGATTATTATAAATGTAATACTTATCAATGATGGTGAATGTGATGGGGTATTTAGGCAATTTTGACTCACAGTATAGCTATTTATACTGTAAAAGCAATGAAATTATCTCATTTTATAGGTGTGTGAATAACATTTCTACTTTGGATAACTGAAGATTGCTCTCTTGCATTAGATTAACAAAACACCCGCAATTATAATATGGAAGTACTGTGTCAGGTTTTAATTGTTAAAAAATTCCTCCTCATTTTTCAATGCTAATCACTTGATTATTCTACAGAACCCCCTGCAATTGTTAATGTGACTGGTGACCAATATGTTTGTGTGGGTTCTATGGTAACTTTGAATTGCAAAGCAACTGGTAAACCAATACCAAATATTACTTGGACAAGAGTGTGGAAAAATGGTACTGGCAGTGGAGAACTACCATCTATAGATGGGCTTTATGTGATCAGTAATACTAGCAGAAGCTCCCATGGAACATACCGCTGTACAGCAACCAGTGGAGTGGGAGATCCCACTAATCAGACAACAGAGGTGATTGTAGGAAGTAAGTTATAATGCCGTCTTTGTGATTATGTAAATTTATTTTTCCTGTATTTAATTGTGCTTAGTATACAAATATTGTAATTTATGTATGGTATATAGGAATTTGCATATTGTGACCATTAGGTTAATAGGTATTTTTATGCAAGTTAATTTTAACTTAACTTACTAACAGCGTAGCTGTGCTACATTGTCAGCAAGTTAAAGTACACAGAAAAGAGATCAGCTCCCCAGTCTACTTAGGGTCCGCAAAAGGTGTTTTTTTTTTTGTTTCAAAAAAATAGGTAAGAAACAATTTTTTTTTCAGTTGCTGTATCAAGCTTGGAAATGATAAATGACTTAAAGTACTAGTATCATCTGAAAAAATCCCTAATTCATCGAGTTATAAATTGGATTAAAAAAACGGAGGAAAGTCTTGTTAAGGGTTTTTTTTAACATTTACGACATTTAAACAAGCTTTTCTTTTTTCAAAAATGAGTCTTAAAAGACTTTTTTGCCGCACAATTAGACATCCACAAAACACAGTTAAAAAGAAATGTCTGACGTTTCGAGTGTTAGCCCTTTGTCAATGGCTCTGAAGAAGTGCTAACACCCGAAATTTCAACTTTTTAACTGTTTACTGTGGCCAATTTACGTTATCAACTCGGTTGATAATACTAAATTACTCTCCCACCCACGCAGCACCACAGTTTCTTTAGAAACTTACCCCCTTCAGTCATGACATGGTATACTCAAGCAGAAACTTTGAGGCAATTTCATTTCATAGGATAATGTAGTTTAATTTTTATTTTTATCTATGATGCTGTTCTTTTGGACCATTTCTTTGACAAAGATTAGTCAAGCACATTTCAGGGAAGGTGCCAGTGGGCACTATTAAGTTGATGAATGGAAAACTCATGTACAATTCCCATTTAATCTTTTTTCAGGCCTATTACCAGAATAGAGTTTTAAAACTAATTCTGAACGTAATGTCTAGGATGAGGGAAGTACCTTAAGTTAAAACTAATGGTATCCCATTTTTTTTTGCTTACAACCCCAAGAACAAACTAGACTAAAAATTGTTCCTTTTTTGGAGGGGAAAACCATACAATTTGAGTGACACAAATTAAATGTGATTTTTTATATCATGACGTGTAAAACTTACGATAATATTTTAAAAAATAGTCGGAAAAAGACTTCTCAGATCATATTTTATTATACGATCAGGCATCATTTACCTTTAGATCAAGGAATTCTTTATTACAATGCCATGATAAAACAAATCATGATGTATGGCTCTAGTGTGTGGGTTTCTACATCTGTTGATAATTTAAATAAGGTCTTCAGGCTACAGAAGTGTGCCGCACGCTTTATTCTCAATGCTGATACTAGAGCAAATAGTGTAGATCTATTTAGAGAACGTTATTAGCTACCTATTTTTCGTGATGCTAAGATTAATCAGTGCGCATTAGTTTATAAACGTTGAATGGGGTGTGTCCCGATTATATGTTAGAATTACTCAAACGAAACACAACATCCGTTCGACTGAAAGACAAAATAGATATGGGTCTTTGAATTTAATTTGTTCAAAGTATAAAAGAGAATCAGAAGGTGCAAGGACTTTTCAAGTATCAGCCACTAGGTTTTGGAATTCACTTCCCAATGAAATCAAGAGTAGCTCTAGTTTAGAAATTTTAAAGAAGTCTTGATATAAGTATTTTTTGGAGTCCTATAAAGATGTTCATCACTTTACTTAAGCTTATGCTATTCTTTTTTATTCTCATATATTTTATATTAATCCTTTTATAATTCATATTTTAATTGTTTAATCACCGTCTTAATTACAGCATTATTTATATGTATTTGTGTTTATTTTTAATTTGTTTTTGAGGGCCACGAGTTAATCAGTATTTTATACTGTCAGGTGCCACCCTCGAAAGCTGATTGTTATTATTATTATTATTATTATTATTATTATTACTCTACCAAAACCAAGCATGGAGTTTGAAAGTCACTTAAATTATTCTTCAAGTCTGAAAAAGCAATTGGTTTTTACATGAACAGGTGTATGTCTAGTTCACTGGATGTTGTACCTAAGAGGAATATGAATTTACCCTCCACAAAAGTTTTAAGGGAAGGGTCTTGAAACGTTTTGAGCTATAAACTGAACTACGTTATTATAATAATTATAATTACATTTATTTATTTGGAACCCTAGAAGAGGCACAAGGGATATGAGTTTTTTAGAATTGAAATTAATCGCAATATATTTGATTATTTGCTAAAGAAAAAAGGCCGAAAATTGTCAGCTGATTATACAATGGAGCATCATGCATCATAAGTGTGCATAATCAGTTGACAGTATTGCCTAATAAAGTCTTTGAAATTTGAAAACATGAACACTTAAGTTGGTGATTGAACTACATCAGAACTAACCACATCGCAAGATAGAATATGTTGTATAGAAATAGAAATAAATAAAAAAGTTAAACTTTATAAGAATTCACTCCTAGTAGGCTCTTAAAATTATTGAAACTAGAGTCCTTTTTGGAGCAGATTCTTTTCAAATAATTTATGCATTATTATTTTTGTGCTGCTGTTAAGGAACAGGACATGAGTGAATGAATTATTTGCTCATGAGTGACATAATGAGCTTGTCATATTTTTCTCCCAATCAAACCAGAGATTAAGCAGTTCACAACATCTGCTACCGGCCACACAGTATGTCAGAATTATGTCATTAGCTTTAACTGCTCAGCTGAAGCTAATCCATCGGTGACATCATACCAGCTATTTGAGAACGACACTGCTATCTTGGACAAGAACACTTCAGGAATATGGAGCAGAAACATGTCAACAAGGGGAGTGTTCATATACAAATGTGTGGCCAACAACACTTATGGAACAGGAATTAGTGAAAATATTGTTGTTCATGTGTATGGTAAGTGACTTTTTACTGAGTTTTATTCTTAACTTTAGTTAATATAAGCAAGGCTCATGTGTAGGAAAGCAAATAATAATTTGTAAATGTTACATGACTATGAAGAGGTTCCTCAATAGGGTTATTCAATCCCGCGATCCCTTCTCTCGATCCCTTAATCCTGACCGTTTACACTGACCAATCCCGATCCCGATCCTTCAATTTTGTCTGAGTCCATTTCTATAACATAGGAGGGCCTCTTTGGTGGGTGATTATTTTCTCAACCAGCATTGATCTGTTGAAGTCTATGGTCACCGTAAGGCGTATGTTATCTCTTTTCACTAAAATGATGATGCAGTTAATTTAAGAAGTTTTAAAGGTATTGCACAAATAGCATACGCTATAGTCACGGTAACGACTTCCTTCCGTTAAAAATTCGATAACGGACAAACGTATTAGTACGGACAGGTTATTATCAAAGAAACGAACAATGTCAACAAGTGCATAAAACACAATAGGTGACGGAAATCCCATCGTTCCGTAACAAGGGAGATAAAGTTAAATGAACACAATTCTGCTGTTGAAGCGAATACTTCTCTTCCAAAGCGGGAACCTTTTTTAAGGTAAAATTCAGCCTCGCGTTCTAAAGATTGAATGTCACCATCATCACTCAGGGAATCTTAATTAAGTATTCCATTCTTCTCTTTGTCGTGTTTCCCGCTGTTTTCTTGCTGCTCCTCGAAGTCAGAGCGTTCGAGGCTGACTGGTTCACTAGGCTGAATTTCTCTCTGATAAAGGTTAGACGGGGAAGTTCCAGCTCTTGTCATCGTTGTTTGTGCCCAGTCCTTCATCTTCTGTGTGCCCTGCGGTGCTCTCGATACAGGTGGTAACTGTTTAATTGCTAGTATAACCGACAGGATCATGGCACGTGTAGTGACAGTGTGACGATTTAATCTTTATTTACTGGGCTTCTTGTTAATCTGATTACGAAGTAGAAGACGTAATGATAACCTCTCTGAATCATTTTGCCATGGAGTTAAAGTTAAATTTAATGTATCCCTCTTTTTGGGTACCTTGATGGTTACTAAACCTTAGTTTCCAATTGTTTTTCATGGCTCTTAGGCTTTTTTGTCTTTTTTTCAATCGTATTGCTCACAATTGCCTTCGAATGTTTTTCAAATACCATTTGAGTTCTACATTTGCAATGGTGTAATTATAGGGCATTGAAATCAATATGTTTTCAAAAAGTTCAGTTGACTAAAATATGTTCCACAATAGTGACCCTAACACGGATCCCTGAAGACAGCCACGTTCCATATTTCTCCATGAGCTAGTTACCGACCCAGTGTGCACTCTCCCTAAGCGGTTGCACATGTAACTGGGCAGCAAATCCAGTGCTTTGTCCTGGAAACCGTAAGTTTTTAATTTGTGCAGCATAAGCTGTGGATGAAAGCCATCGAAAACTTTGGACACATCTGTTGATAATATTCCCACTAGCAGACGATTTTCCCTAGCCGGCTTCAAATCCTGCACTTGACCAATCAATGTTGTTTCACAACTATTGTGCTTTCGATAAGCCGTAAGGCCATCACTAAGATGATTATCATACTTTGTTGCCACGTGGTTTCTCAGTAAGCGCTCGAACACTTTGTTTACACATGATAGCACATTTACAGGTTTGTAATTCTCCTTGGCGTTCTTGTCCTCTTTTTTTTATAGACTGATGTCCATTCCACTTTGTTCCAGTCTCATGGCCACTGACCGGCCTTTTTTGAAGCACGAGTTGTAGAGAGTGTTAGAGATATTTCCTCAGCTCCAGCCTTCAGGATCTTGGCCGAAATACCGTCATGGCCGGTAGATTTATTTGCATCAAGAGACTCCGTTACTCTTTTCACTGAGTCGGGTTTACTTCCTGAATATTAAACTTCTCACAACCTCTTGATTTCTGCTCTGTCACCTGCACACTTGGATGATTAGTGAAATCATCCAACTCCTATAGATCCGCATCTGTTCCTCCAATCCCATCGGCAATTGTAGCAAAATGGTCCGTTAATTTGATCCTTCGCGGTATCGCCTTTGATGTTTAGTTCCATATCCTGATCGGAGCTAACCCCTTTGTCACTGAGAAATGGCTTAAAAACTCTGAAGAACTCTCCAGGTTTTCTTTTCAGGTCTTCTGATTAAATCTTCCAATATTCTTTCATCGCTAATCTTCTTTGTTTTGTAACTTCGTTTCTACATTTCCGTTTGTCCTCCCAATTCTAAGCCGTTTTGTTTTGTCGGTATCTTGCCTCAGCTTTCCACTTCGCTTGTATGGCATTTTTCCATTTTGTTGTCATGTACGGGACGTCTTGGCCCATTATATTGGTAGGCGCGTGCTCGTCTACAATTCTTTTCTTTAATATATTCCAGAAAAACAATTGGTCCTCCACGTCCTCGAAAACTTCACCAATATGCCAGGGTACTACGAATAAGTCTTGTTTAAAATTCTCACCATTGAAATTTTTATAGCTTTGGAAAGAAATTACCTCAAGCTTACTTAATTTCACTTTGTGTGAGCTCCTCAATCCCTAAGAAAACAGGAAAGAAACCAGGTCCCCAGAGGTATCGACCTGATCGTGAGGCGCAAGAGTGAAGTTTTGAACGTCTTGAAGTTTCTGATACGGAGCACCAATCCCAAGGTCAAGGCAAGCTTTAAGTTACATGGCTTCTTGGGTCGAAAATTACTTCGTGTCACGGCTGCCAAAACAAGTTTCGGAGAACTCCGAGTGACCCGGTACCACCCGAACCCTACGCCATTTTTTTGTGCAGAAAACAAATCAGAGCGTATACCCGAGAGAGTTCTACTGCCCTTAGATTCACTGTAAAGCCTGAAATTACACATTTTCACTTGAAGAAGTCCTGTTTTCAGAATGACTTCTCTAAAACATTGGGGCTCACAGCATCGCTATCACTGAGAATGACAAGCACCATCTTAAGGAAATCCATTTCAAAAAACTAAAACAAGAATTTAGAGTTAAAATTTAATATGTCTAAAAAGATGTTTGGGCTGTTAATTCAGCTTGCCTAGAGTACTGCTCTGTTTTTTGTTCAAAAGCTAGGTGAGTTCGCTGTTTATTGTTTAAGTGATCTTCACTAAGTTCCTCAGAGCTTTCTGTTAACATTCACAAGGTTATGGACGTTGTTTAGATATATTTGGACCGGACTGCTTCACCTACTAAAAGGTTGAGCTTGAGTATTAGATGTATTCTGTACGTTGTAATCGTTGATGGTAGACAACAGTTTCGTTAACCTTATAGTTGCATTAGAATATTGCAGATCATTCGAACCGTATGTTGATACATACAAAGGTTTTGCGTTAGGCGGGTGTAGGAAAGAACTTATTACAACAGTTTTAGTTTCATCTACAAAAAATTGCTTATCTTCTCAAGGGAAGAACAAACATTTTTTTTGTTTGTGATAAATTTGCCCTAAATTATTGTGTAAAACCTAGAGTTGCTCTCTTGAAAGAACGTTTTAGGAGTGTGTCCACGAGAGCACCAGGCAGTCGTGCTACATGCCATCTCACCGATTTCACAGAAACTGTGCCAGTTTAAAGGGTCTACCCCAAAACTCAAACAAACAAAATGGTTTCTGTTTTTTTTTGGTTTCCGGGGGGTGTTAGACCACCCCCGGTTTTTCTTGGTTTTCACCAAGGAAATCGCTTTACAATAGGTAAAATGTATAAAGCTCTCACTGCGATGGTACTTAACCGATTACTCTGAGGGTTTGCATGCATATTATTATATCCTTAGTTAACGTCCAACGCAAGTATCAGCCAATTTGATTGACGGCTTGTCAACCAACAGAGGCAAATAAATAACTGTGTTTTCAGACTTTTCGATTCATCCAGATATTTGACAACTTTTCCCCTTGCCAAAAAGCTACAACACTAATTTCAATTCCCCTTTATAATCCATTATTTCATCTCTGAAAATCATCAAAAAAAATCTTTGCGCACTACCGTATTTTTTGTCTTGGATGCCTTTTAAAATCTGCGACTGTGACAAGTTTCTCTCGACTACATATCACTCAATTCTGGCTCTTGGTAGTCACTTGAACAAATAAACCTACATTTTACAGCTTGTTATACAAGATGATTGATCAAGGAAGCTGAGAAATGTGAAAAACTTTCGAGATTTTTTATAGGAATGGAAAGTTTCATGTTTAAAGAGATGCATGTAGCGAAATGTTGATTGGAAGATCGCAGCGTTTCTTTCTCCTGTTGTTTATTACTTTAGAGATTTCTAAAATCAGCAAATATGGCTTTTGTACGGAACAAAACATTTAATATTCTATGATTTGACTGTTTATTATCATTATCGCACAGTTCACAACAAGTAAACTGTAACTGTAGAGGAGATTTAAAAGTCGCATGTCGCGTGTTGGTGACTTTCAAGTTCCCGTGTGTAACAACTTCGGCTTTTCCAGATGGTGGAAGACTGGAAACTCTGCCCCTCTCATTTGAAAGGAAATATCAATAGCCCCATGAAATTTATTAACTGCGCCATGTTTCCAGATTATAAGATTAGAAAATGTTGTTTCCACTTTCCACCACCGAGAAATTCCACGCAGAAATAGTATTTGTAGCGTAACTACGTGACCTTTCATGAGAAGTAAAAATTGTTTACCTTTTTTTTCTCAAGCTAACGCTTCTAAAAGGTTCTTAAACCTTCTGTTATTTTTTTTGCCTTTTTTTTACTGCAAATATATCTTTGGACGAAAAAATGGATTTACTAGTGTTTGTCAAGGTGTGCAAATGTGGTGCATCCACTTAGAGGCTGATTACAAGAGTCAGGCTGGCCTGCCCATATAATGTGATCTTAGAAAACAGTCAACTCAGCTCATGTAATCCACTCCTTATTAAAAAAAACTAATAGAACAAACAAAAGTGGCAGGCCTCTGCCTACCACAGACATAACATTTTATTGTCTTCATAAACACTGCAAATATATATTGCATGTGGAAATTATTATTATTTTAGCTGTTATCATACAAAACTAACAAATTATTTTGATTGGGCTGAACAAATTGTCTACAATATAAATCATGTGTTATATAGATCATGTCTTCAAAAATCAAGTCACAATAATTCCTAAGAAACTCTCATATACAATTAAACTAAATAAATAGCTTTACAAATCAAATACCTTGGTATACAATTAAAGAATGGGTAGAAGAAAGACTTCTGTCACTTGAAAGCACTGAGTTACAAGATGTGCCATTTGATGACCCTTACAAATTTTCACCATTCAGATTCAGAAGCATACAGTTTCAACAGGATCACCTGAGAAAGAAATTTCTTGAAGAAAGTGATATAAGATCTAAATATTTATCATGCATGTCCTGATGTAACTGCAAAGTGTCTTCATCTGTGCTTTATAGGATAGCACCAAAATCTCAATTTATATTATAGATTTACTATAAGTAAATGTAAATGCAATATCAAAACTGAGTGAACCAAGTTTTATCCAATTACCAATATCCGGATACCCAAGTAATAACTACTGCGTCACTTACAAACAATAAGAATAATTGATACATAATAGTTTGTGTTTCCAGCACTCTATAAAGGCAACAAAAAATAACTGTCTGTATCAAGCATTACTACAATGAGGTTAGCACTTGGTTATTCTCTGAAGTTAGTCCTTTTCTTCTTCTTTTTTTTTTGTATATGTAAAATACAATTGTATATGTATATTGTGAAATTTTTATTTCATGATTATTGTAAATTTCATTTAATATATTCAAACTATTAATTCATGAAAATCTCCCTATGAAACTGACATACTGTATTAATTTTACAGAAATATCTATTAATCTGTTGACTTAATCCAAAGCTACAATTTTACCTACACAATTGCAGTACCACAAAAGCACTGACTGACAAGATGTGCCATCTCATCATTTGCCAACCTACGATGTGCCATCGAGAAAGCTTTCAGCGCTCTTGTGGGAACAAGTCTGGGTAGGAAAAAGAACAGATTCCTCACTCCCCCCCCCCCCCAAAAAAAAAAAATCTAAGAAACAGTGAACAGTTTCAACAGGATTGTACGTTAGTAAACATATATTAATCACTTGATATGCAATTTTAGTCGCCCCTCTAGTTCATCAATTATCTCACTTAATTGTGGTCTTAACTCAGGATCACTAAGAATGCACTTTTTCCCCAAGTACAAAGGAAGTGGAATTGGAGGTATGTACCAACTGCATAGATCACTCTTCCAAAAGAGAATACAGCACTGGCATGTGAAGGTGGACTGGCACCACAGACAATTTCAGGAGCAATGTGACCATGCTTACTTTTGTAAAGTTTTTGTTCTTCAGGAGTGAAATGTTTCACACGGGAACCAACTGCTGTTAAAGCTACACATTTGCCAAAATCAATTAATATGGCATGATACTCATTGTTTACATGTGAGATAAGGACATTATCTGCTTTGATATCTCTGTGAAGAAATCCTTGTTTATGTAAATAGGATATTGCCTCAGCCAACTGATTGATCAAGGTCAGCCAAATAACCTGTGAAAGGTTCAAACTTCTGCTCTTCAGTGCCAAAGACAATGTGTAAGGCTTGTCCAAAACATGGTAAAAGGACGACACTAGATGGTAAGGCTTTGAAAGAGTACACATCCCAATAAGAAGAGGAAAATTTGCATGTTTGAACTTTGACATGACTCTTGCCTCCTGTTTGACCTCCTCTGCTGTAGCAGAATAAAATGTTTTAACTGCAACAGGATTGCCCCTATAAAACATCTTGTTGCAGCACCCAAACACACCAGAACCCAGATGTACCTTCACCTCCATTCCAGATTCATCTTTTAGGGGCTCCAAAAGGGCACAGTCAATTTCCACAATGGATTCACATGTTGCTTTTGCAATGACCTACATTTCAGCAAGACAAAAATTAATGTACTGTAAATCCTTTGTTAGCCCTCCTTTTCAGAGCAGGAAATAAATCATAAATAAATGCCTCTCTAAATGTTGTAATGTATTTATTTATTTAAACAGATTTTTAAATAGCGATTTCTTTTCATGGTAACGTGAATGCAGTGACACCAAGGTCAGATCAGCAAATGTAGATGGAGTCACACTTTCAACATGGCTGCTTTATTTGAAGTTAAGAGTTTGAGATGATGGTAAAATTTATTCTAATGAGGAAGACTTGGTCAAACGGCGTCAGGAGGTTGATGCAGTGACTCATTCTCTGACAGGACCCTAAACCACCCCCACCCCTTCCTCCTCCACTTTAAGGGTGATGAAAAT